AACAAGGGCCACAAGCCAAATTGCAATAGCAGAAATGTAACAGCTCCAGGGCTTAACTTAGTTTCCCTGTTTTCCACAATTCGAAGTAGAACTGCTAACAATATGACACTGCAAGTGAGAGGTTGTGACGTAGTGGGGGTACCTGGCTGGTTTCTATGCTGCTGGCTCTGGGGTAACCCCCACTGGCTGCCGTGGGTACCACGACCCAGCAAAACAGGACGAGTCACTATGCAAACTAGTATGGCCAGACACCCCCCATGGAGAGGAACAAAGGAAGGTGGAATGCTGCCCTGGCTGGGGGGCAGGGCGGGAAGAGAGGGAGTTGCTGGCTGGAAGGCAGGGAAGAAGGAGCTGGGGAGGGGGCTGGGACTCCCCTATCTCAAGGGGGGCACTGAGGCCTCTTAGCCCCAGTTCCGGTAACCAGATTGCATCTGTGCTGTGCTGTATCCTGGAGGAGCAATAAACCACCCTCAATTCCACTGGCTGGTGGAGTCTGTTTGTGCCATTTCGGGGTGCAGGAGACGGGGGACCCCCAACGCGCCATCACAGAGGTCAACAGCAAATGTCAAGGTAACAAATCAGTAGGCCTCATCCTCTGTACTGAGGACAGCTGAGGACTGTGCAGAGACAGCGTATACTCCTTGGGGGCAGGGAGTATCTCTGTTCTGTTTATACAGCACCTAGCATAGGGACGGGCAATACAAGGGAGGTGGTTCACCAGGGTTCTCCACGGTAGGCTGCTGCTGCTAGATTTACCTGCACCTCCACAGGTATGGGCAATCGCAGCTCCCATTGGCTGGGAACAGCAATCTGCGGCCAACAGGAGCTGTGATCCCTTGTACCTGTAGATGCACAGGTAAATACAGTGGTGTGGGGCCCTGCCAGGGGCTGATCCTGGCAGACTAGATCCAGCTTGAGGGCCAGTATTTGCCCACCCCTGACCTAGCACAAAGAAGTCCTAGTCCATCACTGGAGCACCTTGGTGCGACCATAAAAACAAATAACTGAAATAAACACCTTTATGCCTTGCAAGAGTCTATAAACATCTCCCCACTCAGGCAGATAGTCTGCCCTTACTACGGTGATGGGGGTGGAGGGGAGAACAGATTTACTTACCAGTCCGAAAAGGATCATTTTTGGCTTGAGTATTCTGTAAGGCTCCCTCAAGAGGCTCTCAATTCCAGTTTCTAGTAAAGAGTAAAGGCCTCACTATGCCACGTTGACTGTATGGGTGTGTCTAGACTACAGGGTTTTGTCGACAAAACTATACCTGCATCTACACTACCGCCGAGTTCTGTCGACATAACGTCGACAGAACTCAGCAGTTTTGTCAACGGCTGTAAACCTCATTTTATGAGGAATAATGCCTTCTGTCGACAGAGTTCTGTCGACGGAAGGCGTTATTGAATCTAAACTGTCCTTTGCGTCTACACTGCCATGTCGACAAAGCGGCTTGCTTTGTCGACAGAACTGGATGTAGTCTAGATGCTCTTTGTCGACAGAAGCTTTGTCGACAGTATCTGTCGACAAAACTTCTGTCGACAAAAGCTTGTAGTCTAGATGTACCCTATTAGTCATGATTCTATTCACTGGCTACTTTTTCCCATGTCCCCTGGCGATATAGACTGGCAAAGCTAGTATTGCATAGATCTTTGGCATGGAGGCTAAGACTAGAAGAATAATGGCCTAAAATGTCATTATTCCACAACTGGGCTAATAGCATAAAAACCAACAGCCCAAAGGTTTCAAGCCATTCATAAAATAGTTGTAACGGAATGTTCTGAGTAAATTGCAATGCCCTGGGAACAGCTGCATCTCTAGTCCAGGTCTTTGGAAGAACCAAGCGACTATGCCTCAAGACACGATCTCATGTTTTACAGTGAGCCCAACACACATGAAGACAAGATTTAATAACGCTGTGAATAAACATACAGTGCAACATAAGCAAAAAAGAGTGAGCTGCATAAATTATAGGCAATTATATGGCTTCTGCATTGGGAATTCTCTAGCTAGAGTTTATTGTACATGTCACCACAGACTCCACAATCCAAACAGGCAACTGAAGAGTAAAGTGTTGGCCAGTAGGACATCGCAGTGAATTCTGCTTCCCACATCTCCTTGGGAGGTTTTCTAGAGCAGCTGAAGTTTTATTTTATTCCCCACCCACAGATATTTTCTTTCCCTGCCTCATATTAATATTTTTCTTTATTTACTGCTGCTTTGGTAAACAGATGGTATTGCAGCAAGTCTGAAAGTAGATGTAGTCTCATGTCCTCCTCTCATAGCTCTTCCAAAGTCAAGTACCCTTGAAAAAGACTGTTATTAAAGAAAAACACCCTGACTCAATTCCCCCACGTCTTCAGTAGAATTACAGCAGGGATGAATTCAGGCCCCTTAACGTGACTGTGGTATTTAATCACTAAGAGAAGTAGGCTGTATGCTCTTTTCAGCTTCTTTATTTATGAACATTTTCAGTGACAGAACACATGCAATACAATAATCAAATAGACAATTTAGGTTTCCTTAGAGGAAAGCAGCCCCAAGATCAGACTCTCTCCTGTTCTCGTCCCGTAAAGGAGGAAAACCAATGACTACACTCAGTCTGTGGGGCACTGCAATTTTGTATTTCAGAATTCACTTTGGTAAATTCCTTCCTCAAGCGCACACACCCAACTCCCACTGATGTCAACAGACAGCGTCCATACTTGTCTTCAGTCTGCTCTATTTACTTGAACTGCTAAGATGGGGCCAACCAGTGTAATAAGTTGGTGAATAATTTTCTTCTTTCTAGAGACCTGGGTTCAGATCCTGACTCGGCTCTTACATAATGCAGATTTGGTCTTGTCCTCTGGGCAGATATATTTTTAAAGCTACCATTCAATTCAGCATGTTTCCTAGTCCCTTTTCCAGACAGGCTTGAGCACAGAAACAGTGGGAGTTTTTAAGGGTCTGGACTGAGGAGCACTGGCAGAGCGGCATGGTACCAGGACTGGCACAGCAGAGGGCATTTCAGATAAGGTCTGAGGTTTAACAAAACAGTAAGAGTGAGCAAGCTCAAACCACTGGGATTCCAGACTCACAGGAACTCAGTTCATCCTCCTTGATAGGACGGGACAGGGAAGAGTGATAAAAATGAGCTGCTGAAGGTCACGAACCTAAAACGCTTCAGGCAAATGCATGTTCGGAGACATCCAAAACCTGGAACAGGGACAGCGACCTGAGAATCAGACTGGAGTTTCTGGTGACAAAATGGCAAAAGATCAGTGAGGTGCAGAGAGGGATAGAGAGCAAGTGATGCATCTGGGCTCAGTTCAGCAACAGCTTCTCGCAACAAGGCTAGGAGGCACTGCTCTCCGCCTGCCCCTGTCTCTCTTGGAAATATCGCCGCTGTTCCTGTACTGCCTGTTCCAGCAAGGGCAGATTCATTCCTTCCACGCACGTCAGCACCCGAGCCTTTAGCACAGGCCCCTCACCTGAAAATATAAAAGAATGACTGCAGAGGAGATCTGTTAAGCAGCATCTTTTGCACAGACTGAATCCCCACTGTTCCACAGTAGGACTTGAAAGGGAAATTGAGAGACGGTAGAGACAATATGGTATTCAGCTGAACTTTGAAACTAGGTGGAGAGCAACTGAGGCAGAGAGTTCTGGGCGACTGTTCCAAAGCAGGAGCTGTGGTTTGGCCAGGAGTTCTGGATTCTGAAACCAGCCCTCTCACTGACTAGCTGTATGACTTTCCGGTCTTAGTCCTGCTCCACTGCCTCACCTGCAAAATGGGAATAATCCCCTGTGTGCTCAGACTGAAATCATTCCTGTTTAGACAGTGCTTTGAGACAGTCAGCTGGAAGGCAATCCAGAAAGGCATGGAAATCATGCACATAACAACTCTCAAACTAACTAAGAATAATTCCAATCACTGCTAATTATTCATTATTAAGTGTTGCCTGTGACAAAGCCTCTCAGCTTTACATAGCCAAGCCGAGATTTGCTTTTTACATTTTATAATGCAAATAAAATGATCCTCAGTGCACCATTGCAAATTATAGATAGTGCCCTTCAGTGCCAATTGAGCTTGTTGGATTGCTTTAAATCCTCACATTATACACCTTGGAATGGGGATGTATTTGTGATGCTCTGAAGAAGGGAAAAGAGATGCAAAGATTTATAAGCTGTGGCTCACGGTAAACAGTGAAATACAATGAGTTAAATGTGTTTGCAAATTACAAAATAAAGAAAAGGAAAAGCAAGTACAAGCTGGAAAGTTATTGAAAAGATTTTGGGGAAAATTCTTCTTAATTTCCCAAGGTACGTGTGCAGACACACATCCCTGCTACTTTAGCTGTGTGGAATAGGGATGTAAAATAGTAATCAAACAGTCGACTACCCGGTAAGCCTAGGCTTATTGGGGAGTTGAATCGACTACTCACATTTCCCACCTCTCCTTGCTGCCTCTGTATCAGAGGCAGCAAGGCGGAGGGAAACAGGAGCCGGTGCTGGGGGGAGCCAGACAGGGGAGGCAGAGGCACAGGGGGAACCCAGCACAAGCGGGGACTGAAAAAGTCCCTGTTCATGCTGGGTCCCAACTGCTGCACTTCTGCCTTTGAAATGTAGCAAGATGTGCCCACGGCTCTTGCTACATTTCAAAGGCAAAGGTGCAGCGTAGATAGCGAGCGTCCCCTCCCCCTTATCAATTAATTGAGTTGTCGATGGAAATTCCATCAACGACTCAATTAGCTGATTAATCGAAATTTAACATTCCTCGTGTGGTATTGCACCTCACTCACTGTGTTGGTTGCTCAATGTACAAACATCAGGTGCTATTTGTGGAGCTATGCTAATTCCAAATGATGACGATAAACAATATTGATTTCTTTCTATGGCACTTTCCCTCAGAGGATCTCCAAGCACTTTAAAGGTTAATCAGTTCTCGCAACAACAGGATTAGCTTAATAATTGACATCATTTTACAGGTTGGGGAAACTGAGGCATGGGAAAGGGGTATGGCTTTCCCAAGGTCACATGATGAGTCCATTGCAGAGTCAAGAATAGAACCCAGATCTCCTGACTCTGAGTCCTGTACTTTAAAAACAACCTTCTCCCTATACCATGGATTCATTGCAATTCATTTCAGCTAAATCGTTCATTTTAAAACACCCGTGTTTGGTTTTGCCATCCATACTTTAAATGGGCAAAATATTACTTTAAGATCAAATGTGTCATCCAACATTGCCACTTCCTAATACTTTGAAACACAAGCATGTGCTGAGCTGCACTTAGCAGACATAAGCTCTGAGTACCCCAGTTTCCCAGAAATTAACTGATTCACTGTATGGTGATATCAAAGAGCAGTGATCACAGAGCTCAGAGATAAGACTGTCTTATAGAGAAGAAAGGTCCTTTATCATGGCCACACAAGTTGGCATTTTTGTAGCATTTTTTCTGTGCTAACCTCAAACTATTTTATAAAAGTGAATAAGGATATTATGCATAAGGAAACTGAGGCAATGAGTACTGGGGTGATTTGGTCAAGGTCACATAGTAAGTCTGAGGCAGAGTTGGGAAACAGAACCTGCTCTAACCACAAGACATGCTGGGTCTCAGAATGAGTTTGAATGATGTTCTTTACCTAATGATCAGTTGCAATGGATGGAGAGGAAGAGCAGAGGGGGTCCAGGGCCTAACTGGTGTATGGCTTTTAGCTTCTCTATGCCATCCCAGTTACGGAACAGAAAGTACCTCCTTTCCTGACAGGAGAAAACAAAGAACTACTCACCATCCCTCTGTTCAGTCTCTCCCAGAGCCACATATACGGACCCAAGCTGGGCTTGGAATGGTTCCACAAATTTGGTGCAAATGCGGACCTGGTGCTGGACTGAACTGTGCAGGGCTGTCAGGATGGCTTCAGACTGGACCATGTCATAACAGTGTAACCTGAAACACAATTGATTCACTGAACTTGGCGGCAGGGACCCTAACCAGTCAGTTGAAGACAAGGACACAAGGAAGAAAAAAGGAATTACAGACACGACAGACTGTTGAAAATTGTGTTGGCCTGAAAGAAACTGCTCTCACCTGCCATATGTTCTCAGCGTCTGTCCATCTGCAACTGATTCAGAGTTGATCTCCCAAGGAAAATAATAAACACCAGGATTGGGCAGCATCTTGCAGAGCTGCTACTGCAGGTTCTACAAGCAGACAAAAGACTGGGCAGGTATTTAAAGGGATGTTAGTCAACCTTCATGGGTGACAACATTAACCTAGAAAAAACCCAATGGATGTATTAAAGCCTTATGTAGAAAGATATTTTCTCTTGATTAAGAGGTTTAACACTAATTGCTAAGTACACTGTACCAAGTGCTATACAAACTTTAATTCTGTCAACAGTTCTGAGACGGTCAGTAACATACTTACCCCATTTCACAGATGGATACGGAGGAAGAATTGAAAGTGCAGAGAGAATAAGATATGACACACAGTGGGTCAGCAATAAAGATGGGATTAAAGGATTTGGGAGCTTCTCAATCCCAGCCCTATGAGCAAGTAGCTAGATTATGCTGCCTCTCCAAATATTCCTTGGGTCCTAAATATCCCTATACAGAGGTGATTGTGGTAATATGCGTACACAACACTGTAGTAAAATCTCCATAGTAAATAAGGCCCCAAAACTGAGTTATTGTTATTTGATACTCAGGCAAGATTTAAAACCTTTTAGTAATGAGAGATCAGAGAGCTGACAGAATAAAAGCCCCCTGTCTAACAACTAGATTTATCCAATAGTCTGAAGAAACTGTGCTCCATCCAATAGTCTGCAGAAATGGCTCCATCCTTTCACAAAGGTGTACTGCTGGTGCAGCTAATGAGACTTTCACTCTTCCCTGAGAATGAACTGAAAATCAATCATATAGTCAATGCTGATGGTATATAATGTGCCACATACAAATGTGGGAGGGTTGATGGAATCTAATATGATAATGGGTATATAAAGGAAGTCAACTATAAATAATATAGCTTTGGGCAAAATACTGTAAGACAGGATTTGTCTCATGTGCAATTCTGTTAGAAAAGAAAGAGGTTACATTCCTATTGATTTATTTTAGTTAAAGTAATAAAGTGAAGCAGCAAAACTAATTAAGCTTATTCTATCAAGTTAGTGAAATTCACTTGTGCTAAAAAAGAAGACAGCAAATGTAAGGAACTGAGCCAAATTGTGGTCCCCTGTCCTTATAATTATAAACACACTGCATGGAATAATCCAAAACATAACTGTTTGGTTAATAATGAACATGGTCAGCTCAGCCATACATGATAAGGTCCGACCACTCTTGTTAAAACTACTGGTGAACAATTTGTGAAGTGGTTTTGCACTATATAATGGACTGTTAAAACAAGCTTAAAAAGCATCAAAGACTATGGAAGGGCTTTATATAAAGTATATCAACTTTAACAAGACCAGCCTGACTAGGTCACCTAGGTGCCAGGCTTTAAGGGATGCCAAATGAGATGGAAGTTACTTTTTTCCCTTTAAAATATATTAATATATAATTTTAGAGATTTGTACATCTGTCTGTGAGCCTGTCTGTCTGTGAGTCCACTTGTTCAAGAACTCCTAAACAGTAATAGCTAGGGCCACCAAAATTGGTACGTGGCTTCCTCTTATCCTAACTTAAAGCAAGATTAGGGTTTGGTTGTGCCAGGAAAACTGGATGTGCCTGGAATCCGATCGGTTTCCATAACATGGACAAGGAAGGGACCGACTGGAAGGAAGTGATACTGCACAGTGATCCCTGGCGGCAGCAGGCATGAGGGACAACTATACTGCAGAATGACCACTAGGAGCAGAGCAGCTGCACCAGGAAGGGAGTGGCCAGGTAGAGATGGGGTTCACCATCTTGCTGGCCACTAGCCCAGGTAAGTGACGCCCCAAATGCCTCCCCTCAGCCCTCAGGAGCGCTGCTGGGATCAGGCAGCACAGCTCCCCCCATCCCACAGGAGCCACAGCCCACTCTCCCCCCAGCACCACCAGGCCAACCAGCAGCCGGGTCCAGCCAGCCTGTGTGACCCTTCTCCAGGCAATATTGGGTAAATCTTCTAGTCTTTTATAAACAAAAGTATCAAATATTGTTTGTCAAACAATGCATCATTGTCATGTCAGAAGTTGAGTTATATTACTTATTTCACATTGTGAAGTATGGCCGCTTATGTAAATACAGTTGACATGTGTCAAGGCATAGCTTCAAAAGAGCACCGCCTGGGTTTGCTGCTGGGGGCGGGGTCTAGCAGCTCAGTCATTTTCAGGAACTCAGTGCTGGCCTGTCATACAGTTGAGTCAGTGTTGCTCACTGCTTAGGGAAGGCCGATCAACAACTCACAACAGCTGTTCTGCTGTGTTGGGGGAGCCGTGACTGATGACCCAGACTTCATTCAGTATCAAGGAATAAAGATTTTCAAAGCTTCCCCAAAATCAGTTCCTTTGGAAGGAAGACAGTTGCAGCTTGAAATGCAGCAGTTTGTTGTGCTGCCAGAAACACTGTACAACTCAAAATGGTTAAAACTTTAAAGCGTCAGCTAATACAGTACATTAGGGTTAATGAAAAAGAGAAAAATAATCAATAAACTATTTATTGCTATTTTTACATTGTCCATTATGAATGCCAAATAAATAAAGGTAAAATTTTATTATAGACGTTTCATTTTTCCCTAGACTGAATGTGGGAGGGAGGGGTGCCAAAGTCCATAGGTCAGCTAGGGTACCCTTGGGCCAGCCCTGAACTTTAAACTAGATTTCTGAGCCGCTAGCAGAGTGTTGATGGAGAAACTGCAACTTTAGCAAGCATAATTGCAAAACTGGACAAAGGAATGCACCGCAAAGGGAAAGTGACTTGCAAAGGTAAGTTGCTGAATGGATCCAATCAGATGGTGTTCACGATATGTCCTAAGATGGCTGTACCAATAGTTATGGCCTACATGGTCTCACATAAGCTGGTCTGACAAGATCTGTTTCACAAAGACTGAACAAATCTAGTTCTCACTGCAGGAACTCAAAAGCTCATATCCTGCTGTCTGATTGGATTGTGAGAGAATGACTCATTTTGAGTGACTATTTCAAAACTCAGGAAAAAGGATGGGTCACCACGGCTATGTCTACGTTGCAGCATGTGTGTAGCTATCCCACATCTTAACAGCAAGCCCATTATTTCGAAATATAACAGGCTCGCTATTCTGACGTCCCTGCAAACCTCATTTTACAAGGAGTAAGGGACGTTTCAGAATAGCAGGTTATTGCATAATTAAATTATGAAATAAGCTACACAATTTGCATAGCTCAAATTGCTATGGAACCAAGGTGTACCATTCAGCAAAAATAGGCCTGTCTCCTTCAACACACCACTTCCTAAAAATAAAAGCTAAGGACACCAAGAAGGGAAAAACCTAAGATCCTGTGCCAGCCATGTGGAAGTCCTCTGAGTGATTTCAAGTGCCTAACTCAGTTAGTGATAGAAATGTAGCCGTGTTAGTCTGGTGTAGCTGAAACAAAATACAGGACTATGTAGCACTTTAAAGACTAACAAGATGGTTTATTAGATGATGAGCTGAGGAAATATTTGATCTGAGGAAGTGGGTCTGGCCCATGAAAGCTCATCATCTAATAAACTGTCTTGTTAGTCTTTAAAGTGCTACATAGTCCTGTATTTTGTTTTAACTCAGTTAGGCATTTCTGTCTATATTTTCCAGGAATTCTAGTTGCTGACTAAGGTTATGGCTACACTACAGTTTTTGCAGAAAAATGGCCATTTTTCTGCAAAAACTTATGTAGCGTCCACACTTCAAGCACATTTTTGCACAAGGGAATCGAAAGAACAGAGGCATTTTTGCGCAATTGGTATTCCTCTTCCTACAAGGAAGAACGCCTTTTTGCAAAACAGTTCTTTCACAAAAAGGTGTGTGTGGATGGGGAAGAGGGGGTTTTTTTGCGCAAAAAGAGGAAAGAGGAAAAAGCACAGGTTCTCTGGTGGCCATTCTGTGCATACCAATCGGAGTTTACTTTCTAGAGAGCGTCCATGCAGTCTGGACACTCTCTTTCACAAAAGCGCATCGCTTTTTCGATGTGCTTTTGCAGTGTGGATGCGTTCTTGCACAAGAAGTTTTTGAGGAAGATGTCTTCCAACAAAAGCTTCTTGTGCAAAAAGCCTGCAGTCTAGACGTAGCCTCACATACCAAGAAACAACTGTCCTTCACTCACCTGTGTTTGCAGCATTAACTGCTGCTGTAGACAATACCTAACAGATCAGCAAGGTGTGTAGGTTCTTCTTTTGTTTGTAATGTTTTCCTTGTGATGCTTTTTACCTTAGGAACAAAGTAAACTTGCATGGGAAGCACTGTGTGGTACCTTATAACTGTAGCCATTATACCTGTTAAACAGCTTTGAAAAGAAAGATTGCTTGGGCCAGTTCAGGCAGCCTGGCTTTGCTGGGAATAACACTATGAAGGCAGGGAACTGTTCAGCTTGGACATGCCCCAGTCAAGAGGGCAATGAGGGTGGATGATGAACACATGTGCATCTGCCCTGATCTGTGACAAGCAACACACAGACTTTCTCTTGGGTGATGACCCAAATCCATCAGTTGACCACATCCTGAAACAAAGTACCCATTAGCAAGAAAGCAAACGTGCTTGTATACATGTTTTAAAGATTGTCACAGGTGTGTGGGTGTCTGTTTTGTAACTGGTTCCAGTCAAGCTTGTTGCAGAGTAGTTTTAAAACTGAACAATTTACTGGTAACTAGAATTATAGAACATGGTGCCATACTTAATGGTACCACAGTGCCTTTCAAATTCTAGGTATATACAGACTAAGACCAAGTGTGAAAGCTTTTTAAAGTGCACTCAGTCTGTCACAAATATGGGAGATTATCTTAAGTAGGTGGGAGGGTTAGTCACATCCTACAGTTAAAATAATTAATTTGGAAATAGACTAAAAGGGTTGATCACAATAGATCTTTTGCGAAGAAGACCTTGGTGAATTGGCATGTAAGTAACTTACAAATTATTTTCAGATCTATCTGGAGATGACTTTCCTCTGAGCTAGCAGCACTAGAGTTGATAACCAATTAGCATGAGTGAGAATCCTTAGGGATTCTGTCAAATCTAAACAGTCTGACCTTTCCAAATTAGTAATTAGCAATGTGGTTTTCTAGTGTGGTTCTGTAATTTCATTCTGAAATCTAAATGGCTATTCTAACTCATTTTCTAATATAAACAGAATATATATAGTATTACCCCTATTTATACCTGTTGTGAATTTGACCTACAAATGGAGAACGAGGAGGCAGAACTGGTAGGTATGTGGGCAGAGAATCCATGAAGAAAGGATAGGTGGCATGAGTTCAGGAAAACAGGAGAGAGTGTATAACGGGATCCAGGGGGTTGTGTTCAAACACACTGCACATACAATACCTCCCCTTCCTCCCGCAAAAACAAAAACAAAACTGGGGACCACCTCACGGTGACAGCTTTAGGAACATTAGCCATTTACCTTGTGAACTTTAATTGAGCGCCTCAGTATGAGCTCCACTCATACTAAGGGGAGCTTAGCTAGCTCACCAGACAACCAGCAGAGCTGTTTCCTTCCACAGGGTTCCCCTTAGCTCACAGCTGATGCCCCATTCATTCCCCACCCTTTTGCCTCTGATTTCAATTGCATGAGAAGAGGACCTCAGAGTCCATGAACAAGGATCTCAGGGTCTTTGTGGGTTTTTTCACCCTCCTTTAGGATCTCTGTGATCCTCCCTCATTCTCTTGGGACCTTTGAGGGAGAGGTCACACAATGCACTGCCCCTTACCTCTCTATCCCTGCCTCCCAGGTACGTTTGGTCACACACAGACACCAGGAACATGGAAACCAGAGAGCTCTGTTCAGCTAAACCTCCTCCCCCAGCCTTCCCATGTGACTAAGCCAGGTCCCGACCACATGACTAGAAAAAGCTCAGCCCCCTCCTTTCCTAGTAGGGTGGCAGCTGCAAAGCCCTGCTGAGGCGCTTATGTCAGTGAATGACTGGGTAATCCGGGTTCTCCCTCCCAGAATGTCTGTCTCCCTTCACTACTCGTTCTGCTTTGTGCCAAGGATGTGTCGCTGCCTCTGGCTTTAATAGTTATTGGCACCTTCCCACATATTTCTGAAAATTCTATTACACGGGTTCATTGGCCCAAGGGTAATTGCAGTTCCAAAGGTAGGGGATTAGATATTTGTCTAAGGAGAAATCCAAGCTAGTAATTTATATTTAGTACCTATCCAGTGTTATGGAGCTAATGGAATGCACTTCTTTTGTTTCACCAGATATATTTATTTGTGTCGATTTTAAAATTAATTTGTGAAACAGTCTTCGGGAAGAGGTACCATTTTGGGCGGCCAGCGCAAGGAACTGGGAGCTGTCTGGATTCTTTGTCCAGCTCTGATGCTAACTGGCGGTGGACCAGTCCATACTCCTTTTGAATGTTTATCTTATTTAGTTTGAAAATTGATTCAGTTAAATCAATGAAGTTTTTGGTGGGAACACTCTTAAAAAAGTTGATCACATTATATTTGTTTTGTAACTGCATTGCAGTGCCTAGCATAACAACGCCCAGCCCTGTTTGCACATTTGTGCTGTAGCTGTAATAAAAGCCCCGTGCAAATTTATGTTTCTGTTTTGTTTTGCTGCTATGGCTCTCAAGTTGTGCATGGGAACTCCCGTACTCTACGCAACGGCAGCCGGACTGCACTGCCAAAGCCCTAAAATGTTAGAACGCAGCAGGCAATGCAGAGAACCCTATAGCTGTCCTGTAATTAACGGGACTGCACTAATTGTACCACAAAGCCCTGCAAGTGATATCAAAGTTCAAAACTCGAAGACTGCGAGATGCCTTTTGGAGGTACACCCAGCATCTGCTCAGGATGTACCTTGCATTTCACCTGCTAGTGCTACCCAGTGCTGCTGTGGCAGCCAGTTCCTTCGAGATGTAGATGGAGGGGCTGTTTCCCCTCCTTGTCATTTTGTGACACGCAGCCTTTAAACCTCTGCGTTGACCCCCGGGGCGCAACGTCTTTCTAATACACGCAGGGTTCCCCTCACAGGTTATCCCCTACGGGGCTGTGGTCCCAACCTAACTCCAATGCTAAGATGCCATGAAAGCGGTGCCCGAGCTAAAGCAATTGTTTTACATTCATGACCCTAGGACTTGCCAAGCCCAGAGGGGCTGGAGCCCAGCCTTTGCGCCCATTCAGCGCTGCCTAGCTTGCTGCTTGGCCAGAGAGCCCTCTCCACCCTTGCAGCTTGCACGACAGGGCACGGGGAGGGGGCGGCAGGAACCCCTCTCCTGCATCCCCGCTCAGCCCGCCCCACCGCACAGAGCTAGAGTCCCAGCGGCCCACCCGGGGGAGGCCCTTTGCGCATGCGTAAGTCTCGCGCCGAGTTGAGGGGTAGACGGGCAGAGGGGGCGGGAAGTAAAGTGGCGTGTCGGTGATGCGTGACTCAGCCGCGCGCCCTCGCTCTCGGTCGCCGCCCTCCTGGTCACGTGCCAGACTAGGGGG